ATTAAAATGGGTCAAAAACTGCTGCAGATCCCCAAAGTTTGCCTGAATTTAATATTTTAATCTCATCAGTGTTTTCTAACTGCAGGGATATGAGAGTTGGTGTTAAATACAAACACAAGGTTGCACTCATGAACTGGGATCTCAGTCCTCAGAAGTAAAAAATAAAGGAATCGTGAGAAGACGCTTTTTTTTCTCCCCTCAGTGTACAAACTGCACGCATGTTTATTTGTGCCTGAAATCTTCATGCATGAATTAGCAATTTAACTGGAGTGCTGCATTATGCAATCAACATTTTTACAGATGATGGGTGACTCATAACCTATAAAAAGCCTCGCATCCGCAGTCGGGGCTGTGGGTCAAAAAGCTAATCACCGGAGAACATGTATGCCATCCATCCTTAAGCCACGGGTGCTTTTTGAATAATCAGATAAGTGCAGGGACGGGCGTGATGAAGGGAAAAAAGGGAGAGACGGGCTAATTGCTGTGGATCTTCAGTCCTCTGAGGTATTGTCTCGGCAGACCCTGCTGTTAGTGAGGTGAAACTTCTCTCTCCTCTCATCTCCTGGGTGAAGGAGGAAGGTCCCAGGGTGGCTCTCTCTCTGCAGAAGTCATCATTAACGGGGGCAGAGGAGAACAGAACGAGAGCATTTTGCCCCCTCTTTCTCTTTCTTAATTCTCCACTCTTACTTCTGATTTCCTGTTGGAGTGTGTTTGTTTTTGCGGTGTGGTGGCGTGTTGGCGAGTCCTCGAGAGTGTGGATGATACTGACAAAACAGCGCGCTCGTCCAAGAACACGAGCCTACACGGAGATTACGGCGCCTCATCCGCTGTCACCTGTTCATCCTTCGCTTTAATCACAGTTATTGTGCAGGAATGCGAGCATTTAAAAAGAAAGAAAGAAAACAGCCCGTCCTTTAAAGTTGCATAGCGGGTTATTTTGGGCTCCCTCGGTTCCATGAAATTCATTTTCAATTCATTTTCTGCATGAACAATGTTAGGTGACTAGCAGCTGGAGCGCATCCAAAGCTTGGCTGGGTACAAAGCTGTCCCCGCTGATTTATCAGCACAAATAATCAGCAGCTTTGCTAGAAAAATATCTAAGACAGGGCTTAAACAAAAGTACTAAGATGTGCACCGAGTACAAACATCAAAGAATCACAAGGCTAAAAATTCCTTATTAATGGAGGTATATGTATATGGCAATCATTAGCAACGTGCAACTGTGAAGTGTTTAGGAAACCCTACATTTCCATGATTCGCAGTTTTTGGCCGGCTTTGTCTTTACAGCAAGTGCAAACATGCAACACAAGACGGGAATAAATACAGTGGGGACAAATGCATCTCAGATGTGTGGTGCTGTTTCTGTAGCGAGCGCCTGAATGCAAACCATTACAAATGATGGAAGAGACATAGTGTAAACCAAAATACACCGTTTATTATTGCCATATTTTTGTGTCGCCCCATAGCAAGAAGATCCTGGGGTTTGAATCCACCATCCAGCCCTTCTGTATGGAGTTTGCATGTTCTCCCTGTGTCTCCTGGGTTCTCTCTGAGTACTCTGACTTTCTCCCACAGTCCAAAGATGTGCAATTAGTGTGGTTAGGTTAACTGGTGATTCTAAATTGGCCATAGATGGTTGAAGGTCTTTGTGCGTTAGTCCTGCAACAGACTAGCGACCTGTCCAGGGTGTACCCACCTCTCACCCTATGGCAGCTGTAACAGGTTCCAGCCACCCTGAACTGGATAAGAAGATGGATGGCTATAAGGATGGAGGTTTGAGTTTTGGCCTTTATTGATAGATTTCCTCTTTATTTCGATGCACAATGGGTGCAAACGAGACCCTTAATTGGAAAAGCAGAAGAAAATGGATGGATTGATATTCTTACCAGTATGTCAGCAGTTGGATTACGTAGAAAGATGCAAAGACAGCCAGTGATGAAGGTTGAGCAACATGACTGATGTCAGTTTAACTGACCGATTGACCAACTTTGGGTCGATGCTGAATAAAGTTGTAAATGTTACATTGTTCCTCATTATTCCACAATGCTGAGTGGATTTGTAGAGGTTTAAGGGGAGATGGAAGACAAGAATGAGAAATCGCACCTTAGACAGCCTGGATTTGTCCACCTCGTGTGGTCTGCAATGAAACTGCAAAGACATGTTTCACTGATTTTGAAGCTGACATCGTAGCTGCATATAGAAATCTTTAGCTGAAGTCCACGTTTACCCGCTTCTTCTTCTTCCTCTCTCTGTTTCTTCCTCGGTCTCTCTCTGGAAGTTAAAGGGCCAGTGGAGGCTGATTAGAATGCAGAGGAGGAAGGCTCTGCTGCAAATTGAAAACATATTGATTCTCCTCATGCTTCCGGGGAGAGAGAGGGACAGAGGGAGAGAGACAGAGGGAGATGGGAGCAAAGGGAGAGAAAAGAAGGATAAAAGCTGGTGAAGAAACGGAGGGAGCAAGACATGCTCCCACACCACCCCCCACCCCACCATGCCTGTAGCAACTTGTGTGTCTGGTGTCTATCTCTCTCACACTCCCTCTCTGTTTCACACTCAAACAAATATGAACTGTTTCACATGGGCTACCAAGATAACATCTCACACAGGCTGAGGTCTCTGTCGCTATGGCAATCAGGTCAGGGCAAGCAGTCGTACATGACTGCGTGTGCGTGTTTGCGTGTGTTTGCGTGTCTTCTACATGCGAGCGCGCGCTGTCATGTCCAGCTGTGTTGGCGAGAGGCCGCGGGATGCCAATGAGAGAGGACAGCACACAACACGTACAGATGTGCTGACTGCACAGTTTCTATGGGAACCAGCCCCCACCCACCCCTCCCCTTCCCACTACCACCAACATATCCCTCCTCCTTCCATCGCTCCTCATTGCTCCTGCAAAAGCTTGACAAGCTCCTCTAATGCCTCTCGCTTCGTCTTTATGCGAGTCCAAGCATTCCTGGTGGAGCTCTCACATCAGCTACAGCTCAATCTGTCTCCCCCACTTCCCCCCCCAAGTGTGCATGTCAAGTGCGTGTGCATGGGTAAGAGCCTGCGTGTGTGGATATTCAGTGGACATGTGCGACAGGCTTGTCTTCTTCTTTAATCAAGAATGGGGGTGAAGGCAGGCGAAGTGTGAAGTAGGTGGTGAATATTATCAAAGAGACTGGCCCTTCTGTCATCCGCACAGAAACAACGCACAAGCACAAATAACACACACATGGAGCAAACAAATTTGTGTGCACAATCGCAGACACTGCTGGCACCCTGTTGACAGGGCTTGATTTATTGTGCGTGTGTGTGTGTGTGTTATAACTACCAGAGCTGATCATAAACAATACCGCTGTCTGCTGAATAAAAGCTGCCATCATATGGCTGCCTGCTGCCATTGCATGTCTGATCGTTTCACACAAGTCTAGATTTCGGAATATTTGCGTGTGTGTATGTTACATACATGAGCAGCTGCTTAGAGTTTCATGTTTCCGTCTGATGTTTTAAAGAAAAGACACAAATCATAAAAATTTGGAAATTTTGCAGCAAAGTAAAATAAACTACACCTTCCCAAAAAATTACATCTGAATTAAAGGTAATGAAAAAACTGCACATAAAAATGACACATGCTTATTAAAAAATAGAAATGTCATTGACTTAAACAAGCTTTTTGCCAATTTCAGATAATCTGGCAGTTTTTGTTTGTTTGTTTGTTTGTTTGTTTGTTTGTTTGTTTGTTTGCCAAATCCCAAAGTTAAGTTATTGAAGTTTAAGTCCAGGTATTTTTTTTTTTTAAATAAAAAGTCCATATGTGATTGCCTTTTGCAGTTTCCTGATTGACTGACTTTTGTTGTGGGGCACTTCCTGTACTTTAGCGTTTTAGCATGATATGCACTTAAGCAAACAATGCAAAACCATGGAACTATAAAATGAGCTTAGTGTAAATTTAGCTCTATGAGGATTTTTGACAAATACACAATATTTGCAGTGTTGAATCTGCACATCACCACAGTGGATTTTAAATGAAACAATCAATTGCAGATTGCAGATGTTCAGCGTTAATTCAAGGGTCTAACAAAAGTATTGCTTTAAGAGTTTAGGAATTACATCTACTTTTTGAAACCAGATTTTCAGAGGTTCAGAAGCAACTGGCCAAACTAACATAATTTTAAATTTGATTTTCTTTTTATATGCTTAAATAAAAATCAATCAATCAATCAAACATCACCACATGCTGTGTTTGTGATGCTCTGCCAGGCCTTCACATATTTGAGAGTCTCTCTGCTTCTCTTCTGTCTTCAGTCAGTGACTGTAACTCTGTTGGGTTGAGACCAAGTGACTGACTTTGTCACTGAAGAATACTCAATTTCTTTGCCTTAAAAAACTCTTCTATTGCTTTTGCAGTATTCTTTGGGTCATTATCCATTTGAACTGTGAAACAGCATCTACATGAATCTTAGCAGAGTATAGCCCTGTACACTTCACAATTCATAAAGCTACTTCTATGAGCAGTCAAATCATCAATAAACACTATTATTTCATGGAACAAAACCTGAACAGCCATCATCTGACGGTTAAACTGCTTGCCATGCAACAGTCATGTGGATATAATACATACATATACAAGGTCAGGTACAACTATTAAATACAATATATTTAATATATATAGGGAATATTATAAGCTACAAGATTTGTTTCAGTAGTTGTTAAGTGTGTTTTCTGTCAGACATAGGGGCTGTTGTGGCTCAGGTGGCTTAGCACGTGGCCTACCTATCAGAAGGTTTCTTCCAGTGCATTCACTGGGGTAAATGCTTGTGTGTGAGTGTTAGATAAAACCAATGTGTGTGTAAATGATGAAATTAAACTTATAAGATAGTAGAAATTATAGAAAAGTAACTAATTATTTATTTTCCCAAAATTCAGAAAAAAATAAATGCAGAAATGTGAATTTGAATTCCAATTCCGTCTAGTCCGCTGTCACGCAACATACATGTCAGGGGCTTTTATTTTGAAAGGTAGGGACAGGAAGAGTTACAGGAGGTTTCCTGTAGGGGTTGGGCAGTGACAGACTGCGGTTAGAAGGTAAGTTGCAAGGAATTTACATTATAGCAACACTTTGCAATCCAGCTGTACAACTTATCAGAGAGTTTTAGTGAGTCTGCCGTGCCGTGTTGCTCTTTCACACACTCACGAGCTTCTGCCGACGCCGAGCAGCTAACTGCTAACTGTGGTTACTAGCAGTGCAATGCTAAACACAACTCACCTGCAAGTTCAAGCCCCACAAGCGTGCAGTGTTTTGGAGAACCGGCTGCAGCATTTCTACAGCCCGTTCTCTTAAACTATGGTCTGCTTTGTTGAGTGGAGCGTGTTGAATGCAAAAGTGTGGAAGTTAACAGAGACTTTCATGGTGTTTGGGTGTTTGCATGGTGTGACAAGCTGCTTCAAGTACTAACCCTTATGCAACTCTGTTTAGACACATTACAACAAAGGGGGAAAAAGCCTAAGCTTTGTGTGTCTCACCTGCTCAGGCAATGCGCATTGGTTTGCCCACAGCAGAGACACTACAGGGTGGATCCTTTAAAGCTTTACTTTTGGTGAGTGTGCGATTTCCTCTAACACTTGGCTCATCAAGTTAGGTAAAATGAAAAAAAAAAAACATGCTTTGCTCTAACGTTTATTCATTCCTCTCGTCAGACAGTGCTCCTGAGCGTGTTTATGTTCCAGCTGCTGAGGACCGTCGGACTGAGGGCCTTCTCCATGGCATCTGAGACGTACACATCAGGCACGCACTCTGCTGCCTTTGTCACCTGTCCTAATGACACAGTTGCTAGAGATTTAGCCAGGTGATTCAAATGGCACAATAACAGTTCTGTTTATAATATATGCACACTAGACACTTTGTTAGGTACACCTTACAAGTACTCGGTTGGACCTGTTTTTTGGCAATAATTCAATTCAATTCATTCATGCAAATTTCCTGGTCCACCACTTTCCAAAGGTGTTCTACTGGATCGATAGCTTGTGAATGTGGAGGCCACTTGTGTACATTGAACTCACCGTCACCTGTTCAGTAAAACCAGCTTGAGATGATTTGAGGTTTGTGATGTAGTTTGTTGCTATCAGGTGTCATGAAGGGTCTGAAATGGTCAGCTACAATATTCAGGCAGGCTGTGATGTTTAAACCATTTCTTTTTGAAGCTAAGTGCTCCAGAGTATATCCCCCACACTATTAGACCACCACGACTAGTCTGAACCATTGATACAAGGCAGGATCCTTGCACAAATGTGCACGTTCAAGTAAAAAGTCTCTGTCTTCATTAGCTGGATACAAGGACCATGAGATGTTTTTCATCTGTGCTCATTTCATTCTTTTATTCTTTCTCACAGGGGTATTGTGGAAAAGAAGCTAGCAGCTTGTGTCAACATTGTCCCAGCGATCAAATCTATGTATGTTTCACATTAGCTATTCTTTAGTATCATGTTGCACTGAGCTTTCTTTGCCAGTGTTGTTTTTTTGTAAATTATAGACTATATTTATACTGTTCTAACTAGCAGAGGTCTTCCTGCCTTTGAAGCTAGTACTTAATAACCAAAAATAATTGTGTGCTGTTCCTTCAGATATGAATGGCAGGGGAAGATTGAGGAGGACAATGAGGTGCTTCTGGTGAGTGCTGTCTGGGTACTGTTATATATTGCCTAGATGCAGCTAAAATCCATTTGTATGTCTTGGGGGCAAAATGTAATACAAGACTGTTATTATTTCAGATCCTATTATGGATATAGTTTAATTTATTAGTGAAATAATTTAAAAGAAAAAATTCCTAATTTACAGAAGTATTTAGACCCTTTGATGTGATGCTCCAAGTTGTTGTCCGATTTCTAAAGTCTTGAGTGCTCCCCACAGCAAGCAGCTTCAGTAATTGTGAGATGGAAGACGTTAAGAACCACAGAGACTTTTCCAAGAGTGAAATCAGTCACAAAATCATGTTGGTACTTGGTTACAGGGGCAAACAAGACTCAGTCCCTCCAACAGAGTTTCAGAAGACCTCAGGAGAGAATTGTGAAACCTTTTAAAAGGTGGCTCAACTGAGCTCCAACAGTTAGTTTGTTTGGTAGAGTAGTTCAATGGAAAACAATATAAGTAAATGCTATTATCTAAACTTCAACCAAATTATTTGTAAGAGCAAAACCAAAAAAGACAAACTCTAATATTTTTTGCATTTAAGTCCAAATTCTGTTACCGGTGAACACAGAGCACTGATTATTGGCTACGGTACCATCGATGTAGCATGGTGGTGGTAGCATCATGCTCCGGGAATACTTCACAGCAAACAGGGATGGGAGATGTATCACAATCAGGGGGAGAATGAAAGCTACTAAATAAACAGAGGTTTATTGCTGCAGAATGGGACGTGAAGGAGGGGCAATGGTTCAAAAAAGTAATCCGAGACACTTCTAGAGTAACTTGAGGACAGAAAATTGAACCTGGAAATAAGATTATTCTATAGAAGAGCTATAGTTTTTAAGCTTAGGTTGTGACTAAATGACTGTCAATATGAGCTGTTAGTAGATAGACTCTGTCCTACTTTCTGTAGTCACTGTTAGAGGGAACAGCGCTGATAACCATTCTCTGCTGTGGGCAACATTTCAGTATTTAATATAAATATTTTTTAAAGCAAGTAAGTCCTGAATGCACCTGTGAAGACAGCAGTGAATGGCAGTACTGCTTTTTGGGGGGGTGTTTATTAATGCAACATGTTTTAAAATGTGCAGAGGCAGGTTTCAGGATAGATCCCATTATTTGTCTCCTTACTCTGACATATTAGGTCATGGTCTCTTAGAACATGGCAAACTATATTTTAAACTGTTCAGCATGAGCTTTCTCCTTCATGAATTTGATTAAATGGAAAGGTAGTATGTCTGAAGTCCTGTT